ACCCGGAGCGAGCAGCGCCATTGGCCGCGCGGCGCGGGCTCGAGGCGCCCGCGGGGAAACTTCGCGCCTGGGCTCGGCGCGCTCTGCGGCCTTCGGCGCATCTCTAAGGCAGTCCTGGGGCTCCGAGTCTTCGCGAAGGCGCTCCGGGATGCTCTCTCTCCTTTCTAAGGCGGTCTCCTACTTGTGGAGACGCGCAGATGACGAAGATGAGAGATGGACGACCTCTGGTAGGAATTCCGGGCCCGTTGTGGGTTTGTGCTGCAGCTTCTGAGCCGTGAGGTGTGCTCGTCCCCCACGCGACTGGAGCTGAGTGCAGACCTGTTTCCTTAAGAAAGGATGTAAGGAGGAGATTGGGATGATAAAGGCATCATTTTGACTGCAGAGCATGTGGAAGTTTTTCTGGAAGTACTTTTTTTGCCGTTTCCTGTGTAGGACAGATTAGTATTGCTGCTGAGAGTATGGAGTAAGGAGTAGGAGCAGTGCCCTGGCAGCCAGGTGGGCCAGTCGTGTCCTGGGGTGCATCAGGCACAGCATCACTGGTGGGTGAGGGGGGATTGTCCTGCTCTGCTCTGCTTTGCTCTGCTCTGCACTGGGGCAGCCTCACCTCAAGTCCTGGGGCAGTTGCAGATGCCTCAACACAGGACCTACATCAAACCATTGCAGTGAGTCTAGTGGAGGCTGAGCAAGATGGTGAAAGGTCTCGAGGGTGTGACTTAGGAGGGGCAGCTGTGGTCACTAGACTTGTTCAGCTTGGAAAAAAGAAAGCTGAGGTGTGACCTCATCACTGTCGACACCTTCAGGTGGGGTGCTGGTCTCCTCTCAGAGTACTAGGGACAGGATACAAGAACATGGAAGAAAACTGCATCAGGAGTTTAAATTGGACAGTGGGAAAAGGCTCCTCCCTGGGAGGGTGGTCAGCCACTGGAACAGGCTTCCCAGGGAAGGCACCAAGCCTGTCAGAGTTCAAGGGCCATCTGGATGATGCACTGAGTCACGCTGTTTAGTTTTAGGTAGTCCTGTGAGGAGCAGAGAGTTAGACCCCTGTGATCCTTATGGGTCTCTTTCAGTGTGAGATATTCTATTAATTTATTTATTTAATGGAGCTTAAAGCATGTTGGTTTTAAAATGTAGTTTGTATTTAACTTTCTTAATTGGTTGAAACCATAAGTTGCCATAAGATTCAAGACTTAATTATGAAAATAATTAGTTGGCAGCTGTTGCTATTACCAGTTGGCCTTTTGGTAGAATGGATGTCCCTTTTAGTAGCATTCATAACTTTTTGCACAGTTCCATTAACAAGTGATTTGGGTTTATGTCAACACTTTTCCTTTTGATGCAGGTGATAAAGAATTGAAAAGTGTACAAGGAGTAGTGACAAGACTTTGCCATGATTATGGGATGATAGATGACACGATAGTCTTCACAAAGGATGTTGTTACAAAAAACATATTGCTGGCTGTTGGACAAGTAGTTATTGCCACTGTGGAAGAGGATAAAACATCAGGTGGCCTGAAGGCTGTCAGGGTAAGAGGTGAAGATAAATAGTAGTCTCACTTTCTCCATAAGTACCTTTGGGCTTTGTTTTGGAAGTTACTGTAGTTTTAGCCTCACAAATTCTACAAAATAGGATAAATTGCAAGCTGTTCACCTAGAGGGGATAAGCTGGGGTTTGTGGGTCATTTTATTGTTTCGTTCCATCTCCTTTCAAATTATGTTTAAAACTGATTCTCTGAATACAGTTGTAGATGTAGTGAATAAGAAGCTATTAGTTGAGATAATTGCATCAGAATTTTAGTCATAGCTACTCCAGACTTGTATAACTTCTGAGTTTCAGTCAATTTTTTGTTACTGTTATATGAATGGATAAGAAAATCAAAGCAATTTGATCTTGTGCAAAGTTTGCTCTTTTTGCACAGTATGTTCTTGTGAATAAGAACAGAAATTTCAAAACTTCCTGTTGTAAAAATTGGTAACTTGATGTTATAGACAATTACAAAAATGGAGATCTTGCTATGTTTTTTGCTTAACACCTCATTTGTATACCTGTTTCAAGCATGATTATACCTTGTCAATTTTGAGGGAAGTTTTTCGTAGCAAATCATGTTGAAACCAAATGTAGTTTCATTGATTAAATGAAACCAAAGAAAGACTTAATGGGGAGCCAGTTTTATTCTGTGACCCAAAATTAAACATGGAAGAAAAGTAAACAGTAAGTCTTGTTTCTAAAGTATTACCAGCTCTAGTGCTATCAAAAACCTGATGTCTTGTAAGATAACTTTATATCTCTTCTTATTTCCTTTCGTTTCTCCTTTTTAAATTTAAATTATTTTCATGCATAAAAGCTAAGTATTGTTTATCCAACAAGAAATATCAGTGCTGTTTTGTAAAATAATATACACAGTCAGAAAATTGAGTAGTTTAAATGTTACTTTTTCTTCCTTGTTTTTCTTCTGACTGACAGCTTTCACCATACTGTTGAAATACTGTAATTGCTCCAAAATACATAAACCTGGTAACTGAGAAACTGCATATGGATCTACAAAGCAACTAGAATATTGTAACAGTTGTGGCATGTTTTGCTATATATTCTATAATATAGATAATGGCTTTTTGAAAAGTATGATGATTTTTCTTATTCCTGTTTGTGAGCTGTAATCCTGCAGGCATCTCAGACTGTTGGCAATGTAGTTTGTGGCTGGTTGAAAAGCTTTGAGACAAGTTCCTGTCAAAAGCTGACTATACTCCATGGAAAGTCAAAGTCCAAGGGCAGTCTTGATTCAGTAAGGAAGAAGATAAAGCTAATTTCTTCAAAGTCTATTCTAAGAGCATCAATGAAAACCATTCAGTATTTTGTGATGTGTTGCCTTACTTTCCATATAGCAGCACAAACTTGAGATACTCTGAGCATATGATAAGAACAGACAGCAGCAATTGAATTGTAGTTGTTTTGCATGGTGAAGAGCTAAGTCCCCTTTCAAACCCCTAGTCAGAGAAGACAATTTTGCTTCGTGGCGAGCATCATTATTACCTACTATACAAAAAGATGCTTGAACATCAGTACTATCACTTAACTTTGGGTTTTAAGTGATCTTAAAGGTACTCCTCTAATTGCAGACAGAGGCTCTGAAGCCTGAACACTGCCAATGCAGTTTGGGGCAGAATCTGGAAGGCTCAGTTCCAACTTTGGTGGTGTCAGTGTGTTTATGTTGCTTTCTTTAAGGAAGAGCGTGGTCAGCCTTGGGTGCTTCTCTGCTCAGTGTACTGTTTCAGCTGCTGTTTGGAGCTACTGGCCATGTGGTTTGGAAAGATCATGGCTCAAAAGTTTGGATTTCAGTTTATTTGAGGTCCAATCCTAATTAAACTCTGCATGGAATGATTATTGGTTCTGTAGCAGGCTTTAAAAACAGGCTGATACCAGTGGTAGTAGGAAGGCCATTTTAACCAGTACGAAAAAAAACTTTAGTTTTATTGGTAGAGAAAAATAGAGAACTTTCAAAAGAAAATGTATGTTGGGAGTTTTAAGGTGTTTTCATGTTGTAAAAACATTTCTTTAGGTCTACAATTTGCTTTCAAGTGTAACTGCATGTGTAGTTTACATGTAGTGAAATGTAAATTTACTATTCTTCTGAGGAACAGTTTGCTTATTCTTGTTCTATCCATATGAAGCCATAAAAATCACTTTGGAGAAAGTTTGATATTTCTCAGCATCTTCCTGGTGAATGGGAAGATATGTCTGTCAGGCTGGAACAAAGTATAGATTTTTCTTTAATTTTTTTTTTTACTGTGAGTTTTCATGTTGTTGAAGAAATATCATGTAATAGTAATTATTTTAATGCAATAAAACAATATTGGCTGAAAAATAAATAGCTATTTATAGCCAACTAGTGTCTGCAAACCTCTGAATTATAGGTAGACTTAGGCTATTCTTTACTATTGTAAACAGTAAGCATTATGTTCGGCAAAATAAATCATATAAAATTTAGTATGATAATGTGCTTCAGATTGGATCAGACTTCAGTGAACTTACATGTGAAGTGGTGATATGAACAGTCTGTTAGAAACAGCTCTAGGGGTTTTCTTAATCAAATTACTAAAAAGTGACAGGGTCAGTCTGAAATACATGTAGTGTTTATAAATACCATCTTGAAAACATGCTTTTTGCTTTCTGAAACAGTCATTTTCTACTTCCAGTTGTGTACAGACACATTGCTGGATGTGGTGTTCCTGTCAGTTGAAGGAAAAATCTTACATAGACCTAGAGCAAGGGATGTGTGAGAAAGATTTGAAAAATCAGCATGTAATTATAGCAGTTGTCAGCACTGCCGCATACAGCACTTTTTAAAAGAGAAGTTTTAAAGTTTCTCTTTAAAAGAGAAGTTTCTGTTTGTTACTTACTTTTTTTGTGTCCAAAAAGTAACAGCTGCAGTAAGTAATTGTATAATAAGAAGCTTTGTCTCCATAAGCAATTGAAATTTTGTATATTTATTGTAGGAATATGTATTTAATTCTAAGTGTCAACAGTTTAAATGTTTGGGTTATTTTTGTCTTAATAGGTAGATGCCATCCAGAATACACAAGAAGACTCCCATCCTACTTGTGATGCCTCTGAAGTAAATAAGAAAACATTAATTGGCAGTATTACCTCTCTCTCTGTGGATGGTGGCTATATTAATCAGAATACATATTTTGCAATGCAAGATGTCTGGGAAGGTGCGTAGGGACTTCTTGTTTCCTCTTTCTTAATATTTTTGTGTATACAATAGAAATATCTTCTGATAAACTTGCAGTTGTCATCCTAAATAAATTCCAATAGAATATGTGGTGAAACATGGTGAAACGGCCAGACATGGGTGGAGAAAGCTGCCTGTTCATTCTCACTTATGCATTTAAGCATAAGTTACATGTAAGCAGGTGTATTTTTCAACTAGCATCTCCTATGTAGTTTGCCATAACCTGCAAAGCAAAGGACTGCAAAGAAAACTTTGGACTCGGTGGGTCTGAATAATGCATTGTTCTGGCTTTTATTTAACTTACACTAATTCTGTAGGGAAGTAATGTAACTGTTATGGATAGTAATTAACCTTGAGAAATGTTCTGTTTTGTATAGATTTCAAACCCTGTGAAGGTGACTGGGTGCAAGCAAAATATTATATTAACTCGACAACATGGAAGACTGAAGCAGTTGCTGTAAGGCCTTTGAGGTATAAACAAGTAAACAAGGTAAATGTTCTGCACGTTGTTTTTGGCAGTAGGAATCCGTGGTGAAGTGAGGTTTCAAATTGGTTTCAGTTACAAATATTGGTAGATCTTCTATAACATATCTTTAATTAAAAGATAAAACATGTTAATTCATCCATTTAGAACATGTTTGTAAAATAATAAGGCGTTTTGAAAATGCATACATATTTTGAGTTGAACACAAAGAGTAACTAACATCTATTATGAATTGATTGCTGATTTGAATTCTTTTAGTTATGATGAGGATGTGTCATGATTGGGGAATTTATCAAGTTTTGTTTATTCAAGTGTTTCAGCTTAAAAACAACCACAGGCCCTTCTTTTTATTTTAAGGAAAATATTTATTTGCTATAGTAATGCATATGCTATGCTACGTTTATGGTTTATTGTCTTTACCTTAACCCTGTATATTGAATATTTGCACTTCAAGCGTAGGAAAAAATTTGCCTCATTACTGCTAATATGGAAATATAAATTAGGTAAGCTGACATGTCACAAGGAAGGTATCATGGTTAAGTCTGGTGTGCATATTGTAGTATGCCCTTCAGTGGAACTTAATGATTGTGTGAAGTACTTGTGTTTCTTTACTCTTTGAAATCTGAAGACAAGCACAGTGATTCTGGGTTAGGGCTCTGTGTTTACGTCTGTATTCTGTTACCTGAATAACTGAAATTTCAGAATGCATTTTTATTAATGCTAGAAGGGCTGCTTCAGGTGAAAAAATAGTATGTCTGTTAGCTTAAAAAGATAATATCAAGTAACAGCGAATACAAACTATTACAGGTTCGCATTTCCAGCGTCTGTGGAAGAACTGGGACAGTAGATGACAGTATATTTTTCACTTTGGATTCACTGAGACTTCCTGATGGTTACTTGCCTCGTAGACATGATCTAGTGAACACAATTGTGGTGGAGAGCAGTCAGTCCTGTTACATTTGGAGAGCTCTCTGCTTGGTGCCAGTCAGCCAGGATGGGTAACATTATTTTGTTCTCTTTATAGCAGAGCTGTGTGGTGTAGTTATGCAGCTGACATTTCGTTGCATCTGTTAAGCAAGAAATACTATGACTATTTCTCTAGTTGACTAGAAAGCATAAAAGATCACTAGAAAAACCAGAGCATGATATGATTTGGCCCTTTTTTGGGGTTTTTTTCTCCTTCCGAAAGTTTGGAACATGAGTGCTACTAGAGAAGCAAACTAGTAGCAGCTGCTCTCAGGGATATTGCTAGGCAGGGAAGGAGTTTTGCATGCATGTTAGTAAAATGCCAAGTTCATTGTGCTCCTCTTGTAGGGACTTCGCTGTTTGAAAACAAATCACAGCAAAATTCATATAAAATACATGTTTCTTTAATCTATTTGTCTTAAGTTACAGTGATTGTTCAGATATTTGTCCTAAAAGGAAGTTTCATGCTTGAAATAATAGATTACTTTGGCCTGCAACTATTAAACTGAGAGGTTTTGAAAGGGACTTTTGATGTTATATGTGGTATGAGGAGGATCTGGATACACTGCAGAAGAGATTGGAGAAAGATCTTCAGTATGGAGAAGAAGCAAAATTTAGGGAAGTAATCAACTACACAAAAGTAAAATGGGCAACTAATCAATAATGGACCTCAGCAAAGATCTGGAATTTGCCTTGTGAGTTTGTCTGTCCTGTGAAAGACACAATTACCACCTGAATAAATAGATCTGTACTGTAAAATCTATCACGTTCCATGCTGAGATCTTGGCAGGATTACGTAGTCTAACTCTGCAGGCCAAAAATAAATTGTCAATTGGAAAGTCCAAAGGGAGAGCAAAAGGACATTCTGATATGTTTCAGACATCATCTTTGGGAGATCTCAAGGAGATTTTGCCAAGGCCATATATAAATATCTTCAAAGGATCTACAAATAACTATATAAGCTGTTTTCTCTAGAGATAACAGATGTAATATATTGTGCCTAAATAAAACAAAGTGTTTACATCATTTTGCTAAACAGTACAAGTTGTTCACATCCTTTCTCAGTTGCACCTGTTTTTAATGGTAGATTTTATATAGAAAACTATTACTGAAGTCAAAATACAAAAATAGACCTTAGGGGTTGATTTCTCAGGTTTAGTGTACATCTACCATATCAAAAACTGCAGCTTAGGCTGCAGTGGGAGACATCTAGTGGGCTTGGCTAGTAAATTGATATAGCTAATGAAAAGCAGCTGCACTCATTTTCTGCTTCAGTATGTCAGATAACTCAGGAAAACTGAGGGTGTGTACATATTAGTGAGATTATTAAAATCTTTCTAAATTATTTCCATGCCACTTTATCTAAATAAATAGTTTCCTAATTACAGAATAGAGACAATGTGAAAATTTCTTTTTACAGGTAGAAGACACCAAGAGTTTAGACCTGTGCTCAGCGTTTCAGACAGTAAAGAGCATGTGCCTGGTTTCATAGGCATTTTTCATTAGTTGTGTGTGATAAAGTTTGCAAGGGGAGTTTTTTGTTTTCCATTTTTTTTTGTCTTCAGCTTGCTGGTTTCAGATAGGAACAGTAACCAGAAGACACAAGTGCATAGGCTGAAACACCTCCAGTCTAGTCATTTTATCTCTTAGCTGCAGTGCTAATTGTGACTCTTGCTGAGGAGCTGCTCTTTGTTGTGTCTTTGCTCAGCTCCCAAAGAGAGCCATAATGACTTCACTCAACATTTGATTTAGCCCTTCAGCTGGGATTCCTTAACTCCTCAGTCATTTTAGTCTTGCATCCAAAGTTTTATGCTGGTTTATTGTGCTGCTGACAAAAGATTTGCTGCTGCTTAAATTAGTTAATCTAATTGTCTTGGAAGTATAAATGTCTGAGAAAAAATGAACTATCTCACCTGCTTGTTTCTAAATATCGTGACTGTGCCTTGGTATAATGTTTCTTCAACTTGTGCAGAATCAAAGATAGCAAAAACTGCTACATAAAATTATTTTTGCAGACAATCTCACTCTAATGAAGGTAATGTGGATGAGCCTTATGAAGACATAATGAGAGACAAAGGAGAGTTGAAAGTATCAAGAGTGACTGACTTTGGAACTCTGAAGCAGGGGGAATCTAAAAGAATGATTGTCTGGATAGAGTAAGCCTTTCTGATTGTTTGAAGATTTCTTTATTTCTATCACTCTAACTATTAACCTGTTTTACATTCAAAAGTCTCTTGTAGTTGAGCCTTGTGGTTTTTTGATGTTCAAGTAACCTCCAGATACTGTGGAATTAAATTCACACTGAATTTAATGTCTGTGAGCATTTATCTTGCAGATAATGCTTTGAGACTCCCCAGTCCTGGATCTCTTTTCAATCCTAGTAAAATCCTTTCTAGAACAAGGACTGAAGCAAAAGCTTTTGCTTGTGTGTTTAACTTAAGCTGCAGATACTCTGCCATCTTCAAAATCTTAGAACAAGAGGACTGTTGCATATTTGTGTATTAAAAGAAGACCATAATTTTAGGGGTTTTTTCCGGGGCTTGGGTTTGTTGGGGGTTTTTTTGTTTGTTTTTGGTTTTTTGTTTTGTGAGCTTGGATGCTGAAGAGCTATGTTGGTGTATCCTTAGGAGGGTTTTGTTTTGGTGGTGGGGGTTTTTTGGGTGTTGGTTGGTGGGGGTTTTTTGTGTGTGTTTTCTTTTTCACATCTGGGCATCAAGGCTTAAATGAAGACAAACCTACATACCCATTCTTTGTTATTCTATGTTCTTTCCTAAGAGTTGGTTACCCAATAATGAACTTTAAGCTCCCATTGTTTGTATTATACATGGTATTTTTATATGCTCTATATGGTAGTTGATGCGACCTAGAAATATTAGCATAAAGCAGAGGTGAAGCAGAAGTGCAATTTCTTTCTGGTAGCAATTATGAAATAAGGGGAACTAGCCTGCTGCAGACAATTGTGTTTGACTTCAGGTAGAAATAAACTTCTCAAGAATATTCACCATGCACTTAATTACGTAACTAATCACATAACTACTTCTAGGAATAAAGGGAGTGTACCACAGTCCTTAATCAGCTGCAGATTAGCTGGATGGGTGAAAGACAAGCAATTTAGTGTTGAGATTCCTCAAAACTGTGAGAACAGTCCATCTTTTCCAATAAATCAAGAAAACCTCTCAAAAGCTGTGATTAATTCATTTAACGACAATGGAGGAACAGCATGTGAGTCATTGAACCATACATCCATTGTGAAGAATGGAGTCATTCCAGGTACAGTGAAATGACAGTGTTTGAATGTTGAATGTTAGTTCCTCATAAGACCAGTAGGTCTTTGCTTAAGAACATTTGCCTGTGTTAGCAATAGAGATTGTGATAACAAAGTTTATTATACATTTACTACAGAAGAAATTAATTTTGAAGACACAAATTTATCAAGGACAAAGGAAAACAATTCCTTGATGAAAGATGAAAATATGCAAAATGGAGAAAGTGAGCAAAAAGACCATGTGGAGCAACCAACTAAGCACAGCAATATTACTCCAGAAATTGTGATAGCACCAGGTGAAAAAATATTCATAGTGATTATATGCACGGCTGTGTAAGTATTTCTTTCCATTCTTTCTAACCAATACAATGGCAGGAAGTAATGAAAATAGACTTAACAATTCTGTTTCTGAGCACAGTTCTCTTCTTGGCATGTTGTGCTTTAACCCCAGCTGGCAACTAATCCCCATTCAGCTGCTTGCTCACTCCTTCCAGTGGGGTGCCAGGGACAATGGGAAGAGTAAAAGTGAGAAAACTCATAGGTTGATATAAAGACAGTTGAAAAGGTAAAGCAAAAGCCACTAACAGAAGCAAAGCAAGGAATTCATTCACTTCCCATGGGCAGACAGGTGTTCAGCCATCCCCAGGACAGCAGGGCTCTATGACACATTATGGTGACTTGGGAAGACAAATGTCATCACTCAGAATGTCCTCCCTTCTTCCTTCCCCCAGCTTTATGTACTGAGCATGATGTCCTATGATCTGGAATATCCCTTGGGGCAGTTGGTGTCAGCTGTCCTGGCTGTGTGCCCTTCCAACTCCTTGTGCACAGCTGGACTCCTCACTTGTGGGACAGTATGAGAAGGGTAAAAGTCCTTGATTCTGTGCAAGCCCTTTTCAACACTGTAAAAACATCCCTATGCTATCAACACTTTTCAGCACAGATCAAACCAGAGCCCCACACTAGCTACTATGAAGAAAATTAACTCTACCCCAGTCAAAACAGGCACATGGTGTAGTGTAAAGTAAGCCAATACGTATTAGCAAATCATCTGGAAATTTATGTGACTTTGAAAGTAGTTACCATTTCAGTGTTTGATTATGAATTTTTATTGACAGAAAATTATAGTAGCTAATGAAGTAATATGAGTGGGAGTAGGTTACATCTCTAAAATGACACAGTGAGGGTAAGATAATGCCTGCAGATGGATATTTCTTAATAGTAAATCCACTGCTCCGTGAGCACCAGAGCTAATACAGGTTTCCTGTGTTATGTCTGATGTGTTTCTTCTAGTCCTTAGTATCTTGTATTGCTACATGCCCTGATCTCAAGTTTTCCTGTTCTGTGATGGGAAATTCAAGTTATATATGCTGAAATACGAAAAAAAAATTTCTTCACTGACGGTGTCATTCACAGAGGAAGTGGTTTGCAAATCTTAGAAAACGTTTGAAAAACAAAAAATACTCAGCTATACAAAATGCTTTATTAATTTAGTCAAGAACAGAAAGTGGCTTTGTGGGAGCTCCTGCATTCAAGTAGGAGTAGGAACCTTACACGGCAAAGCTTATATTTATATAACTTTCACTTGCTTCCAGCTGTAGCTCTGCAGACTTTGTGTTCCACAGCCATTGATTCCTAGGGTGGTAAAGGAAAAGTTGGACAGAGGAAAACAAGGTTTCGTTCATTGAAGTAATGCTACAATAACATTCACACTACTTCTCTTATTTTAAATAGTGAAGTAAGGGATAAAAAAATTCTTAGGAGGATGATTTAGCTGTAGTTTGTAGGATAGAGCTGCAGGCATGGCTTGCTTTCATGGAGATAGACTTGTAGAAAGAATGATTTATATTTTGGTGTAAATCCATAAAAACCACAAAGTCTTAGAATCTTCTAATAATACAGAGTAAGCCACACAAAGCTTCATGGGAGGCTGCAGCATGAAGTTAACAAGTGTTTGCTGGCCACTTAAGAGACCATAGAGACTGCAAATGTAGACCATAAATTTGGACAGTTTGGTGTCTGTTTTGAGTTTTTATAACGAGAAAACCAGGGTATAGTTTTAACCTGAGCAGGTAGTCTTAGTTGGCAAAAGTGGTTTTCCTGCCAAAGAGAAGGTAAGCTGGAATTCTTCTGGGATGCATTTGTTTCAGGCACGTGGTAGCACTGTTGGAACATGTAGTTGAGAATTGCACTGTAGCAGTGCTTAAGTTTCATAGAAACCAGTCTGAACAAATCTGGTTTTTTCGCATGTGTCACTGCCCAAGCAACACTTGCATGTATAAAGTATGTTAGCCAGATTTAGAGGATTTTTCCTACTTTCTTCACTCCATGTGTTTAGAGTTAGGGTTCAGTTGTGAGTAGCCTTTCACAAGGTGCTGCAAAGCAGTTACTGCAGACAGTGAAGGGGTTTGCTTCAGGTTCCTCTGATGGACCTGTTTGGCTCTTCTTTTGCAGTAGCAGTAATTTCAAGATGTTCCTTGTAACAGAAGTATTAATTCTGTACCCTACTATATTGAGTGGAGGGATTTTGCATTTTGCCCAAGGTTTTGATGATATTGTGGGTTGAGATTTTTGCTGTGGCTTTGAGTTGCCATTTTTTGGTCAGGTGGGTGAGTGGCTTGGGTGGGGTTTTTAATTATTTGGGATTGAACTCGAGGTGGGGAGTGTGAGGAATTACCCTAAATTAGCAATTTTCATATGTAACTGAAATGAGAATGTATCTCATGGCTGGGGAATGTGAAGTGTGACCATGCTGGTTTTAAGAAGATAACTTCTGTTTACTTAAAGGATCCATGGACACAGTAAAGAGCTCCTGTTGCTTGGCTTTTCTGATTTTACTGTTGGCCGCTATATTGAAGCCACTGTAACAAATGAAGAAGAATTACTTATAGCACCGGTACAACCTTATTCTCCAGGAAAGCCTAAGAATATTCCAGATTCTCAGCTAAGGAAGACAACAGTGGCTGCTCCTAAACATAAAAGGTATTGTCACTTAGAGCATAAAATAATACTTACCTAGCACTGCTCTATTTGGTATTGTTATATCTGTTCTGTAATGCTGAGAAAGAAAATGAGAAACTGGGAGATTCTGTACATGTTTTTATATATACATATATATGTTGTAAACAAGATTGTTGTTGACATTTCTGATAGAAGAGGTTGTTTTAGTAATTAACTGCTTGATTTCTTTGTAGGTTTTTCAAATAGAATCTCTAATGTGTAGTGTGGTAATAAGATAAAACACTGTTCCTTAGTTATCTACTTAGTAACGATTGTGTTATTTAGGAAAAAAATGGGAAACTGAAAATAGTTTTCTGCAATAATAAGCTTATTAATTCTTTACACAACTTTAATGTCTACATCTGACTAATGTCTCCCATCTTTCATTCAAAACTTGTTGGTGGTTGTCCATCTTTCTAATTTGTGTACATCTCTCTTCAGCACCGCTCTGCATCTGAGGGAGTCCTCAGCTCCTCCTAATTTAGCATCATTGTCAAACTTATTCGGTATACCTTCAAATTTGGCTTCCAAGTTATTTGAGAGGATGTTGAAGAAAACTAGCTCTAAGATGGAGCCCTGTGAAACCCCACTAGGGACAGGTCACCACTCAGATGTCACCCCCTTCACTATAACCCTTTGTGCCCAGCCTGTGAGCCAGTTGCTCACCCATCACATGATGTGTTTATCCAGCTGTGCGCTGGATATTTTGTCCTGAAGGATCCTCTGAGAGACCGTATCAAAAGCTTTACTGTCTTGTGGTGACATCAGCCAGGTCTTTGACTATTCAGATGAGTACCATCAGGTCCCATAGACTTGCAGCAGTCCAGCAGGAGCAGCAAATCCTGCAGAAGTTCAGGTTTAGCCTGGAGTTTGTTGTTCTCAGTCATGACTCTCCAGCTAAGGGCAGTGGCACTCCCTTAGCCCCTCATTGATGTTGAAGACAGAGGCAAAGAGCATTAAACATTTCTTCTGTCTTTTCTATGTCCCTGTGTGTGAAGTGACCATCCTCATCCTGTAATGGGCTGATAATGCTTTTTGCTACTGGAATATTTTTAAAACTTTTTCTTGTCCCCCACATTACTGGACAGCTTCATCTTCAATTGAGCTTTGGCCACATGAATTTTTTTTTCCCTACAGTGTCAAGGAGCGTCTTTGTAAGATCTTTTACCTTTTTTCTCAGTATAACAAACTTCTCAGTTTGTTATATGACTTTGAAGGAGTCATTAGTCTGTTGTGTGTGTGTATGTGTTTTGGGTTTATAATCTTGGTGATGTGGCAAGTTAATCAGCTGGTTTTACATACATTACTTAAGCAACCTAAATGTTATGTTGTACATTTGCATTTTAGAAATAAGAGAAGGTGGTGTTCAAACTTTCTCCCACATTATACCATACCAGATGAGTTAAGAAAATGTGTGGAACAGCAGTTAGACATACTGACCTTTCAGCCCCTCCTAGCAGAGGTAAGTATAGGTTTTATATAAGAGATATTTTCTCATACGGTGTTTCTGTTCAAGCACCCTTAACTTGGGAAGAATGTATAGTCCTTAGTGTAAGAGAAGATGACTACACTTGTCAAGCAGACTTAAACTTCAGTTTGGATCCCATAACTTCCCTGGGTTTCAGTATGTTACAGAATCCAAGCTTACAGAACTACAGAAGCATAAATGCGAAAATCTGAAAAGACAGTTGAAGTGTCTTGGGGGTGGACATCACAGAAGCTGAACAAAACCTTCTCTGTATTCTCACTTTTTAGGCATTACTGGAAGGAGTTTTTTGAGGTGTCAAAAAAGTTGTTATTTCATAGGAAATTGCAATCTCTTAAATTACTGCAATAGCAGAGGATTCTTTCTGGTTGTTCAAAATTGTTTTCTTAAACATCTTCAGATTTAATTCACTATAGCTTGTTCATATTCTCCCCACAAGTATAGCAGTTTCAGAATACATATAAAACACCCCCAAAAAAGCTATAAAGTCTTAATAAGAATACTACAATGATTCCTTCTCCAAAACTTTGCTCTGGCTGCAACTCACTTGTTTGTGTGAATTTTGAGTACTTATAAACTGGAGCTGACACTTTTTTAAAATGGAAAAGGCTGTATTGTCTGCTGACTAAACATGTGACATTAAACTTGGGATCACAGCACTAAGTTAGTAGGCTAGACATCCTCTCTCAAAAAGGAAGATAAAGCTCTGTGGTGTTTATAATAATTTTGCACTGAAGGCCTGCCATTAATGGTTAATTTTTTTTAACCAAACCCTAACCTTAGATAGAACTTGGTACTATTGGAGAATACCTCTGCAGTAAGATTTGTTAAGCTGTGAGGGAGAAAATTCAGGTTCTTTCAGCTCACCATAATTGACATGACATGACTTTCTCTTGTCAGCTGTCTCTGTCCATGTATTTAGATTTTTTGCTTTCTGGGCATAAACTGAGCATAGAACTCAGTTTGTAAACTGCCCCTGAATTCAGATGGTGAAACTGCTGCTGTAGTAGTGAGAGGTCTGGTTAAATCTTTAGCTGAGGGGCTATTGTATTTGAGCTCAAGGACTATACTAATCTCACTTTGGCTATTAAGGACGTTTAAAATACCATCTATATCTGTATTGATGCATGTATTTAGGTATCCTGTTTGGCAACCCAGTTGCTGTGCAGTCTGTTTCAAGAAGTGTTTAATGTTAGCAATAGTGGCTTCTATATCTTAGTGTATAACAATAACATATGCTGGGTTGTTTTCTTTCCAGCGTCTTAATCTAGATAATTATAAAGCAAACTTTTCTACTCTTTTGTGGCTTGAAGAGATCCAAGCAGAAATGGATTTAAAAGATTACTACATGAGTGGGGTTACTTTAAAAAGGAATGGGAACTTGTTAGTGCTGGAAGTGCCAGGAGTAGAAGAGGGCAGACCTCGCCTGATTCCAGGTAGAAATGAACGGGAGATAAAGTCAAATGGCATGTTGATCTGTGTTTTCACAATGCAAACGATATTGTTTATTCATTTGTTTAAAGAAGTCTTTCAGCTATTTGAGCACAAAGTTATTCATTTAGGCTGCTAGACAGGGGACTAGGGACAGGGGACACAAGGACACTGTTAGTGTCTCAGTCTTACAGTGACTGCTATCTGAAGCAGCATTGCATGTGTCTGTTCTTACAGAGGTTTCAATACTTTAGGATTTTTCTTTTACAATAATCAGTGGGGTTTTCAGCAAAAATTGTGCAATGTAGTAATAGCTTAAAAAGAAATAAGTGTAGCAAAAAAGCTGGGAAAGCAGCTAAAATTACATTCAGAATTTCAAGTAATCTAATATACAAGATAGTGTTTTCAAGAGGTGTTGTCTGATGGCATCAATATTAGATGCCTTTTATAATATACATCTACATATGGCATTTCAAAACAGTACTGATGGATACAGCAATTTTGCTGAAGTTAGTCTCTGCCAAATTCCTAGTTTAAACATGCAGAAGGAAAGGAGAAATTACGTGGTGCAGTGAAAATGTTACTAGTCCTTGTAACAGTATTTTGCCTTTTAACTTTGTTTTCAATTAGGTGATAAGGTGATACTGAAAACTCAGGTCTACTCCGATCATATAATAGAGTACATTGCCTATGTTGCTGAAGTAAGCAAAATGTTTCTCCTTTTGAAAAAAATGTGGTTCACAGGTTTTATAAGGGAAGCTTGCAATTCGTGAAGTTAAAGTTAGCTTCTCAGAAATCAGGTTAAAATAGTCTATATTTTAACTTATATTTTGAATGGTGATTTTGTATTTTTGTTGTGTTTTGACAACTCTGGCTTCCCTGTTCTTTTGAGATTATAATCTTTGCCTGCTCTGAAAGCACTTTTAACATAATCTAGATATGTAATGTGTTGTTAGTAGGTAAATCTACATTTACTTTTTGGAGTTGGCGGTGGGGGGGGGGGGGGGGGGGGTTAAGTCCTTTCAGAGGTGCTTCTTTATGTTTAAAGTACTAAATCTTCATCAGTATCCTGACTTTTTTTTTATCTTTGTAACAGATATGTGAGGAAGATGTTACTCTTAAGGTTAATGCCGACTTTGAACGTGCTTACAACTTGGAGCCCATGGATGTGGAATTTGTTCATTGCAGGTGTTTTTATAAGCTTCCAGAAAGCTGTGTTTAATGATTCCTCCAGCAGAATGACTTTTAAAATATGACCATCAACTATTTATTTTGGTGGACACAGAAAAAGATATAATTAAGATCTTGGGAATTTTTTCACTTCTTTTCCTCAACATACCTTTGCCACCATATTCATGGCTAAAAGACTGTAACTGTACAAGTGTTCAAAGAGTTGTTATCTTAATCATTTCTAGATAGCCACACTGATGCCAGACAGTAAAATGGGGAGGAATGAGATGGGGTGTTTGGGGGTATTTTTCTTAGGTTTTTTGGGTTTGGGTTTTTTTGTTGTTTTGGTTTTTTTTTTTGTTTGGGGTTTTTTTTGTTGTTGTTGGTTTTTTCTTTTGTTTTTTTTGTTTGTTTGATTTGGTTTGGGTTTTTTTGTTGTTTTGGTTTTTTTTTTTAATGTACTAATATGGCTGCAAGACTATGCAGGAAGTAAAAATAGCAGGTCATAACTTCCCATTCTTTTATACTTTTGTTTTATTCATGGGATGTTGTTATCTGTTTGGAGTTACATAATCTTCTCTGTAAATTCAGCCTTGCAAAGAAGTTTTTTGAAAGTGTTGAACACCAGGCCATCTTTGCAAAGCTGTTTATACTTCTGCAGCATATTTTTCCATAGATTTTTTTTTTTTTAAATACACACTTTTATATAAAATCTTTTTTTTTTATGCGCAGTAAAAAGTACCAGGTAACTCATAGGAGTGTGCTGTCACAGTATATGGAAACATAAGCTTTTGCTTTAATCTACAAATCTGTATTCTGGTTCCAGTATTCCTAGCAGGCGATGCCAACTGGCCATTCAGCAAGCTCTCTACCTGGGTGAAAAAGGTACATTTCATTTGGCTATTAAGCTGTCTGGAGGAGTTTCTTTGTGTGGAGTATTGTGGGTTTTATTGCTTTCACATTAGGGCATACTGGGAAGAATGCATTGTAATTTGTTCTTACAGGAGTTTCCGTGCATTAGGGGCTTTTTGGTTTGGTTTTTAAGAAGAAAAAACAATGCTGAATGTATAGAATGTTTTGTCAAAATTACTTCATCTGTTGGCCATCAGGAGGCCCAGCAGGAGGAGAGGAAGCAAATTTTTGTGAAACTGTTAGAGCTAACAAGAAATGTAGGAATCATGCATACTGCTATAATAATAGCCAGTGAAATGGCCATACTTTGTGTTACTTCAGAATTTATTAAACAACACTGATTTCCTGTTCCGTGGTTGAGTTGAGCAATGCATGTGAACTTCATATCTTCACCACCTTCGTTCTGATAAACCAATTTTGGCAGCTCAGACTAAACTGATGTATCAACAGCCACATAATCAGTGAAATATGCAAATTGTTTGTGTGACTTTCTCTACTTTCTTTTTTTCTGCTAAATTTAGTGTTATTTCCAGAAAGACTTGTGTTACAATCACCACAAGCTATCAAGACCCAGAATACTACAGAGTACTGTGCCGTTGATGATGGCCTTAAACAATCTACACAGCAAGAAAGTAAGGTAACTATTCTGTAAATGTTCCTTAAAAAGTTCCTTCATTCAGACAGGTACCAGATACTTACTGTACAGCTATTGCCAGAAGGGAATTGCATAATGGAGTATCAGAATCAAAGTTGTATTCTGCTGCATTCTAATGACAGAAGTTTTTGTTTGCTGCCTGGAGATTTTATGACAGTTGTTACTATAAAGCTTACAAAATGAAAAGTGCTTATTAAAAAAGTGTGTGATTCTGGTGGAAGTTGTCAGATTTGCCTTAGACTAGTTTTCATAGCTAGTGTTGAGTAGATATGTAAGTCCAGTCAATGTAGCAGGAAATAATTTTGTAATAGAAGATAATCATCCTGTTCTGAGTAGATTGATCCAGGTTTAACTGCCACTTGTATTATATTCATAAAATGTAGGAAGGACTTTTGGAAGCTGCCTAATTCTCTTCCTTTTTTGAAGCAAGACTGTCACCAACACTAAATCAAGTCAGCCTGGGGGCATGTGGCAGCATTTCTTTATTTTTGTCTAGAGTTTTCACAGTGTCTGCATAACCTGTGCTTCATCACCTTTACACTCAAGATTTTTTCCTAACTCCCTAATTATTTCACCTGCAATTTGTGCTTTACGACAAGGAGTGATCAATCCATCTGGTTTGAAATTTTTAAGGTGATTGAGGCATGGTGTCCAGAACCTCGCCAACACCACATTCCCTACAAGAAGTTTTCTCCTGTGCTACTGTCTGAAGGGACATGTCCACCAAGGAAGATGCATGTATCTTTCATAATGGTCTGGAATTTGACTGTTTGCTTTTGTGGAAGCAAGCAAGTTACATAATCATGGCTTCAAAATCCTCATCTGAGCCTGCAAAGTATTTGTGAAATAAATGTTTAGTGTTAACAGGGCCAAAGTATTAGAAATCTTAAACTTAACATGGAAATTCCTGGCACCTTCTCCTACTACTCTTACCTTTTTCTGTCTTAATGGTAAATAATTCTATTTAATGGGAAAAAAATTAAAGCTTAGCAACTTCAAAAGTATCAGGGAAGATAGTTGCCTGTCTTCTTAAGGTTATAAATGTATTTATCTTCACTTGCTCTTTTCAGGTCAAAAAAAAGCAGAACAAACAGACAAAAGGTATGACATTAAGGGAGGGGGACATAACAAAGGTGATGATAGTAACTCTGCAAACAAGCCAAATTGGTATATTTTCTGTGCTTAAACGATAAGTATCACATCAGTAAATCAGGGCTAAGTAAGATACCTTTAAGATGTCCTTGTGCTCTGCCTTTACAGACAAATTCTAGAAATACTAGCAGGAAGTTTCTTTTGGTGCATTACTTAAACATCTCTAATTCACAGAATCTAGAACGGTTTGGGTTGGAAAGGGCCTTAGAGATCACCTAGTTCCAACCCCTCTGCCACGGTCAGGAACACCTTCCACTAGCCAAGTTGCCCAGAGTTCATCCAGGCTGGCTTTGAACAGTGTACTTCGGGGGAAGGGGGAGCAAGCATCTGATGATATATTTTTTGTAATGAATAAATAGTTATTTCCCAGTCATTTACTCAAAACTTTTTGATCATATTCAGAGTTTTCAATTTGTTATTGGGATGCTGTCTCTCATCTTTGGGAAAGCTTTGCTAAAGATGCTAAAACTTTTTCAAGTATCCCAGATTATTCCTATGCTTTTTTTTTTTGAAGTATACCTTTAAATATCATTGTAGCAAAATGCCTAAGAGGAGATATCATTTTTTATCAAAAGTGTGCTAAAGGATTACTGAGAAATTACCTAGAATGCACTTCTGTCCAGAGGTTAATAAGACTCTACTGTGGACAGCTAAAGCTAGACTAATTCAGACAGGATTAAGAAAAAAAATTCCAGCAGTTGTAGCAGAGGGCCAATCATGTAGTACTGGTACCATTCCCAAAGTGCCAGTTACTGGAAGTTTCTCAAGTTTTGCTGTTCTAGGACAAGAAAGTGAACTTGATTCTAGATTTACTGAATAGAGTTTTTATTGATTGGTTCGTTATGTAATCATCGTCCTTTTCTGCCTTCCAATAAAGAGCCAGTACACTTTGAAAATATTAACGGCTTATTTTCTACTTGGTATTGAATGAGAATGGAATTTTAGAGAAATTCATTGGTTGTTACCACAAAAGAAAAACAAAAAATGTGCAGAAGCCTATTGTGAATTTGAAATGCTTTAATCTACATACGTTAAAAATATATGTGAGGTTCTGAGATATGCTTGTTTTGATTATAGTTGGTGAAACTGTGGCACTTAAACAGAGAGATGGTGAATTTTTCAATCCTGTGCTGAACGTGCAACAGAAACTGGCAGTGAAAAGGATACTGAGTGGTGAATGTCGCCCAACACCTTATCTTCTCTTTGGACCACCAGGAACTGGAAAAACAGTAACAGTAATTGAAGCTATTTTACAGGTAGTAGTAAATAACAAATCAGTCATCTCTAGTCTTTTCCATGTTGGAACATTTATAGTGTTTCTATAAGTGCCATCATATTTTTTTCCAAAGTAGTTTTCAAAATACTCTTTTTAAAATAATTTTCTACAGCTCCATATAAGTAGGAAAATTCATCTTCATATGGATTTAACAGAATTCTGAATGTCTTATTTTCAAACCTTTTTGTCTTTAAAACTTCAGTGAATAGTGTCTACTTTGTGCTTCCAGTAGTGCATAATGTATTAATGAAGCACAGGTATACATTAATATGATAATCATTAATTAACTCTGTTATGGATACACTCAGTTTGAGACTACTTAGTCATGACTGTTGGCAGGAGTGTTACTGAACTGCAGAATAGTGAATGGAAATCACACATGTGCAGAGCTCTTCTGGGTTCTGTAGTCAGTGAAATAAAATGGGAACATTTGTGCTACTGCTGCTTCTTAAATAACCTTTTTTTATTATTATTATCTGTCTTCTTTAATATAGATACACTTCACTCTCCCAGACAGTCGGATTTTGGTATGTGCACCATCAAATGCTGCAACAGATCTGATTTGCTTGCGGCTGCATCAAAGTAATCTCTTAAAACCAGGAACTATGGTTCGAGTTAATGCTGCCTTCAGGTCAGCAGAGGTAAATATTACAGATATCTGCCACTTAAGATTTCCATTTTAATATTTTTACCTGAAAATACTGATTTAGTATTTTAACTCTCAGTGGCTATGAGGCAGTTTAGGTTTGCTTAGCATCCAGAGTATTATATTGCTTCAGCTTCTCCAGAAGGTTAACTAGAAAGTTGATCATAATCCTTAATTTGATTGTATGACCATAGGATCTTCACCTTTTTCTTGCTGTGCATAACTCTACAAACAGCAAATAGGCATTGGTGGGGATTTTTTATTTCATTTACATTTTTTTGTTATCAGTCCAGGTTAAGACTCCTTACACAGGAAGTAAGCAAGTAGGATTGTCATCTCTATGCAGGGCACACACCTTGTGGGTTCATTCCATATATATTTATACATGTGTATATGTATTTACACACAAGTGTGTATATATAGAGATATGCATTTGTATATATATATATACACACGTGTGTGTGTATGTGTATATGCACATATATGTGTGTGTATATATAGATGAGTATATAAAATATCCAAATGTTCATTTTGATCCTTACAATAAAGCACAGATGTCTTGCATATGTACTATTTTGCTTAGACAAATTAATTAATTCATTTTGATGTATGGGTGTTAGTCTATGTGTTTTGCTCAGCTTTTAAAATAGTTTTCAGAGAGCTTTTCTCTTCAAATTTAAAAGTTCTGTTTTAGGTTGGCACGTTATTTTCCCTTTTTGTTTCTGCAGCAAATTGATGACATGGTGAAACCTTACTGCAAAGATGGTGATGATATTCAGAAGGCATTGTGGTCCAGGATTGTAATTACAACATGCAGCAGCGCAGGATTGTTTTATCAAACAGACACACGGTACAGTACCATGGAAACCACTGAAGTGGCTGGATGACACAAACCCCAGAGCTTTTACAGACTGTCTGACCTGTAACTTGAGCTGTTTTAATAGTTTATTGCATGCACCTGTGTTGTGTGAGAGAGCAAAGCACTTGGTTTCTGTGATTCTTTGTTTTAGCAATGTTTAAGCAGAAACTTTCTCCATGGTAAATTTAAGAATTATCTTGAGTAATGTTTAAGATTTTTGAAACAATAATGTCTCCTCTGCCCCCAGTGGGAATTACATTGCTCTTGACAATCACTTTGGCTCAAAATGATTGCTACACTAAAAATTACAAGGTATTTGGTTTTTATCAAGCTAACTTGATAAAAGTTACTAACTGTAACTTTTGCTAACTTTAAACAACTGTCATATCAAGTTCTTTTAACCAAGGTTGTCTCTGACTTGGATTTTAATTTTCGGAAAAGGACAGTCTAAAGCCTTACTATCTTTAGTTGTTTGGCAGAACAAAGCTTGGGGATTGTCTTTGCTACACCAACTGCATTGTTTTAATTCAATATCTTAAATAAACTGAGAATAAGAGAAGCTTTTCTAAGTAGCTTAGCGTTGGTACAATGCTTTAATTAAAGGTTGTGAATATCAGTATGTAAGTGAAATCAAAGATGAGGAATGAAAGGTGGGGGTTGTTTTTTCTATATTTCCTTCTGGAAGTACCCATCTTTGCTCTGTGTCTGTGGGTTGCCTGGCACACTTGACAAGGATGTTAACACAATTGCTGAGGTCAACCACAGGGTGGCAGAATGAACTAATCTGAAAACAGCCCTGTTTCAGGTTAATGTTACTTAATTATAGGCTTGGGCATTTCACTCATGTGATTCTGGATGAGGCAGGTCAAGCAAGTGAACCGGAGAGTCTCATTCCTATTGGGTTGATTTCAGAAGCTGATGGACAGGTAAATCTCTTAACATCATTTACTGAAAGGGATAAAGCTTGTTTATTGTTTTCATATTTTGTGGATTATGTAGAATGCAAGCAGCCATTTTCTGGTAATGAGCTTGGTACTAGAGATTATTCATGCATAAGATCAATTCTCAACACTTACGTTTCTTTACATCTAGAAAAGTCTTGTGTTGGGAGGACTGGGTCTGTGTGGGAGATATCAAAATAAAAGATGTGTTCTGTTTAAGATAATAACATACTTTTGTCCTTTGCAAACAAATGTTTGAAGTAAGCAGAATACTTGATATGAATTGATCTCTGAATTCTGAAACATGTATGTGATTATAAAATGAAGTTTCAGTGCCAATTATTTTAATCTAAGATGGATGTTTTTAAATTTCATATACAGATAATTCTCGTTGGAGATCCGAAGCAGTTAGGGCCAGTAATAAAATCTAGACTTGCACAGTCTTTTGGATTAAATATGTCCTTGCTAGAAAGACTGTCATCAAGAGAGCTATATCTGAGAGATGAGGATGCTTTTGGTGCCTGTGGAGCATACAATCCTTTGTTGGTGAGTTAAGCTTTCCATCAACCTTTTTCAGCTCAATCAAAAAAGTTGTGGTTTCTTACCATCATTTTGCTCCCTGATGCTTAATGATAAGTCTAGCTTGAGCATGAATTCTCTAGAAAAGCTTGGTTAGTTTGCATATGTGGTCTGAATAGTAAAGATGCTGAGTCCTCCAGCATGTTTAAACTTGTCTTTGAAGGAATCCTCAATTCTTAAGTACCATAAGTCAAATATGGTGCACAGAGAACAGTTGTAAATAATAGCTTAAAATTCTCTTTCATCTTCATAGTCCAGGTTTACCATAACTTCATTTTCCACAGATGAAAAAGTACAATTTCTGCTTTTAACATAAAAAGACAAACAGAGCCTCTTCTTTGAAGATTAATTTTGCAAACATCATGTTTCGTGAAGGGGAGAAATTGTTCTTGCTTCTGTATTGTGTCTTCCTTTGAAGGATAGCTTCCTCACATATCTGTATGGGCAAGTACCTAAAATCTATGTTAAGTGGCAGAGTATTTAAACAAGTATTGTAACATAGTATTTAAACAAGTACAGATGTTTGAGCTGCTTTTAATTACTGTCTGATAGGCTTCCTAAGATGCCTTCCTATTCTCATGGTAACATACTTCGAAGGATTAAACCAAGAGCAAAAGATGACTAGATGATCATGGAAGTAGAGAAGGGAGGAAATCTGATGGCAGATTTAAGGGTGAAAGTGAGGGTGTTTGGACCTAGGCTTTAGGTCAGGTTCAGCCTGCTGAAAAACCTGTCATACTTCCTCCTAAAATCTGTTAGCCAAACTCTGGTCATTGTGTTCCTTACACAGTGCTTAAGGAGAATTGGCAATAGTGAGAGATCAGAAAATGTGAGGGCTTTAAGGATATGTTTTTGACTGGAATATCCTACGTTGTCCCTTTTACAGGACTGGGTTTTTTTGAGCTGGTTATTACTTTCTGGAGTGCTTCCTTAACATTATTCTTTCATTTAAAGACAAATACCTTTTAGATATTTTAAGGCCAGCTTCTGTCACCTGTTCTGATGCTCCCTGTTTGCCTGTCAAGACTTCTCCAAAGGAAGACATTTCATCCATTGAAACTCCATTGAAATAATCTGACTCTTAAAAAAAGGAGAATGTGTCTATACATCAAATATTTCAAGAAACTGGAGATGACCCATTCATCTATCATGTACATTCAGTTCTCTTTGCTTCTCCTTTGGAGGGGAAGGAGATGGTCCTGCAAAAACAGCTTTGGTGTACTTCTTACTTACAGGAGACCACACCTGCAGTTTTTGCCTTGAATACAGTTCTCTGGCAGCCTTAGAAATGCTAAATGCTAGTGGATGGTAAGGTAATAGCTGTGTTCTGAGAAGTCTGATGAATAATTACCTGTTTCTGTTACAGATTTTGGATTTTGTCTTTGCAGATCACTAAACTCACAAAGAACTACAGGTCGCATTCTGCATTGCTTGCCTTGCCATCTAAATTGTTTTATCATAAGGAACTAGAAGTTTGTGCAGATACCTCAGTAGTGACTTCTTTCTTGAATTGGGAGAAATTGCCCAGGAAGGGATTTCCATTAATTTTTCATGGAATAAGGGTATGTAAAATATTCATACAGTGAACTAACTGTATAGGCTTGCTAGCAGTTTGCTGATTTCTGTAGAATAAATTCTAGAAAGGATATGAAAAAAGCTTAATATGCCTTTCACAGGTAATGTGACTTCCTGACCATCTGGTTTGAAGTCAAATATTTGACTGAAGTCAAATATTTGGTAAGAACTTGAACAGCTGCCTCTTGAAGTGCACTATGGAGACATTTTCATAGAAGTTTAAATTCATAGCAGATGACCAGACTGGAGTTACCATCAGCTGCTCTAGATTGCTTTTGATGAGAGTTTCCTACATTCAGATGGATACAAGCCTCTAAAACTAAAGAATCATTAGAGCTTGACTTGGCAGGGGAAAAAGAGTACCTTGGAAAATAAAATTTCTTTAATCTTCCAAGAAGTTAGTACGAAGTGATAATATCTGCTGCTTGGAGAGGCTTGGTTTAGAACTCTTCCACCTTGAAAAAGCAAGATGCCAACTTATTAATATGTGTTATTCCCCAATCCAGGGCAGTGAAACACGTGAAGGTCGCAGTCCTTCATGGTTTAATCCAGCTGAAGCAGTTCAAGTGATGATGTACTGTTGCCAGCTGGCTAGAAGTGAATGCTCTGCAGTACCAGTGACAGATATTGGAGTGATTGCCCCATACCGTAAGCAGGTATAATGTTTAACAGGTCTGATGTCTTCAGAGCCTCAAAGTTGCTGTATTTCATCTTATGTATTTATATGGTGGCTGTGTTTTGTTAAAGCAGGGGGGCGTATGTTAAAATTCCACCATGGTGTATCATCAATCATTGCAATACTCTATTGAAATCTAAAAGACAGTAATAATGCATTCTACTGGTTTTTCAGTTTTAAAAATCAAGAAATTAAGCAGAATTTGGAAACAGAAGCAGATTTTTCAGTTATTGGAAGTAATGAGTGCAAGTCAAGAATTCATTATCCAACAGCTGGAACAGCAGTCTGGTTCTATCACTCTCTGCACTGAAACTGGAACAAAAGGGAATTATTATGAAGTAGATAGCATGTCAACTTGTTGTGGTCTTGAGGAGACTAGAGGAAACAATTACTGTGGCTTCTTAGCTGCCCTATAGTCAGACTTGAAATTTGTAATGCTCTACACCTCTAGAGAATGTTGAACATGAAATTCAAATACTGTGCTTTATTTTTAAATGTATTTATATCCAGGTGTGTTAAGTATGTGATGTTTACTTTCATTTTTAAAATAAAATTAATCCCCTTTCACTTGCAGAGGAGATTTTGGACAGTGCACATAATTCTTCTTGGTTTTCACATCTCAGTATTCATAACCTTGCACATGTAGCTTGAAGAAAACACTGCTTTGTATGAAAAAGACCAAGCCCTAGTGAAGAAATCTCACTTGCAAATTAAAGCTTTGCTTTTATTGATCCAGCTAGTCAGGTGCATGCCCCTACCTGTGTTTACAGTTATTATTTGTTTTTTCAAATATATATTCATACTGTTGATGTGACTGAATCTTTTACATTCCATAAACAATGATTTCATATGACTTAATGTGATTTTGTCCTTCATCTGCCTATAATACAAGGCATATGATGCTAATGTGCACATTAAAAAAGTCATTTTGTATTGCAGGAACACTAATTAGAAAGTAGTCTTTGACTGTAATCTTCAGTTTAGTCAGGCAGGATTTCTTCTTAAATCTTTTGGAGCACTTCAGTTATAATTTCTGAACAGCTTTTAGCAGATAGCAGTACAGTAGACCTATATGTACGAGGATGCCAGTGCCTGAGACTCCTTGTTCTCTTTCTCTTTTGGTGGGTACTTAAGATCTTATCTCACTTCTGCTTTTCACTCTGCATGATGCATGTGGCAAGCAAAGGTGGAATCTTTGTAGTCTTCTTGAAGGGCTAAAGGAAGCTGCTTGCCCTGCTGGATCTGTCATATGCATGGTTTTGGATATGATGCATATTGGAAAAAGAGGTTTTAAGGATCTGACTTGTTCTTCTCTTTAAAACCTGGACTACTAAAAATCTCACTTTCTGTTTAATTTATGGTAGAGAGTACTCCTTCACCTTCTAAGTTCTGTATTAGCTGTGTGATACTTCCTTGTAGGAAAAGTTACTATTTTATGTGACAATCTTTCTAGTGAATGATGGCTAAGCTTGGTGTAGTCATTCCTTTCAACATTGTCATGCTAAAACACATACGTGTATATGTGGTACGATTTTGGTTTAAAGCAGTCCACTCTCAAATGTAACACTAAATTCTCTCAACCACCTTTTTTTTTTTTTTTTTTTTGATAGGTGGAAAAAATTAGATTTCTTCTCAGAAGTATTGATTTGGAAGACATAAAGGTTGGCACAGTAGAAGAGTTTCAAGGGCAGGAGTACATGGTTATCATCTTATCAACAGTGCGTAAATTCATTGTGTTCCTATTGAGAATTTTTGTGTCTAATTCTCTGTGTTTCATTTTTGACATAGGCCTTTAAAAATTTAGAAGATATGTTTTTGTCTGTCACAGTATTTGAAAGCAGAGCTTATTAAGTACATGCTTGTAGAAAGAGCATGCTTGTAGAGTGCATGCTCTTTAAAATCTGAATTATTAAAAATCTGTTGCTTTCTGTTTAAATTATGGTAGAAGTACTTCATATTTGCAGCTGGGAGGAAGAGTCTGGGATTTTTCACTTTTTTTTTTTTTTTTTTTTTTTTTTTTTTTTACCTGAGGGCAGTGGTACTGGGCTTACTTTCACTGTTCAACATCATACCGTAGCTTTTCAATCCACTATTAGATCATCCTTAAAGTAGTTCAAGGTATGTTCTACACTCTTATTTATAAGAACTCATTATTTAGGTCATGAAAATTTTCTTTTTCAAAGGTAGGTTCAAATATGGATGAAATAAGGGTGAAAAACTAATGAGTCACAGTTTTAGCACACTACTTGCTTTGGCTGTTTTTCCCATGCTAAGACAAAGCACACTGATGAGGCTACTGAAGAAGGCATGCTGAAAGACACATTGTGAATTGTCATTCAACTGAGTGGATTTTTGCAGGAAATATTATGTTAAAACTTACACTGTGGTATGTTGTGTTCTCATAATTTTATTTCTAAAACTATTCTTAATTAATTTTAGGTGCGATCTCAGAAAGTCGTAATTGATGATGAAAAACACTCTTTGGGCTTTCTCTGTAACCCAAAGAGATTTAACGTAGCAATTACTAGAGCAAAAGCTTTGCTGATTGTCGTGGGAAATCCTCACGTTCTTGTGAAAGTAAGTTTTGGGTTTGTATCTTTGAATTGTGTATGTTATTTGCCACAGCAGTTGTATGATTTTGTGGTTAATCCAATGTGAGGAAGCATCAGAATATGTTAGGAACTTGTACATTGTCCTCAGTCTGCATTTGGGAATATCTGATCTCCATGGGTTCCCATACAAATGGACAGTTCAGGCACACACACAGTAGATTTCCAAGCACAAGTGAAATCATGCTCTGTGCATAGACTGCTAGCTCCTTTTTGTCTCCAGCATGGAGTCTCTGACCTCCTCTAAAGTTCTCCAGCACCATGCAAGTCCAGTAAGCATGTTCTGAGTAACCCCACACTATTAGGTTCTTCACAGAATGTAGTTGCATCACTTTAAATGGAGGATGGCAGAAGTGATCGTTCCAATTAATGCAACGAGTGCTAGGGAGGAGGACTCCTTTTGGACTCATGAATGGTCCTTCCACAGGAATAAGTTGAGCTTGTCTTAGTATCTCATTGTATGTCTGAGTTCACAAACATGAAGAAATGAAAATTTAGTTACCCCACACTTAATATGTAACTCTATGTAATTGAGAGCAGCTATAAGGTACCTTCCTCACATGGTGCACCATTTCTGGAGTTCTTTCTGGAAGAGGTCCTATTAAATCTCTTACATTTATGTGCCGTGTTAATTTGTTTGAAAATTCACTTCACAGAGCACCGTGATTACAGTTATATATTAATTTTCTCTTGTAGGATCCCTGTTTTTCTGCACTGTTAGAATACAGTTTAATGAACAGAGTTTATATAGGTTGTGACCTGCCCGCAGAGCTGGAACGCCTGCAGAGGTAAGTGTCTGGTCTTCACTTTAACCTTGCTAGATATTGATCAGTTTACAGTATTTTTAGAGCTGGTGTCATCTGAAAGATTGATCAGTACAACAACCTGTGTTATCATAGTAGGATTGGATTTTGCATTCCTAAGTAAACATAATGATGTAATGTAACCTTGTTTTCTCCCATCCCATAAGAGATTCTGACCATTAATTATTAAATAAGACCTGTTGTTGACTTTGGTATCTTATGTATCCCCAAATGATAATGGCATATTTGATGATCATTAAGGTAGAGGGTACAGCAGAGGTATTTCAGGTGATTTCACTGTAGTTAAAAACGAAGTGGTTGAAACTTGATTTAAATCATGTTCCTTCTGATAACATATAATAAATACAGTGTTCAGTAGGTATGTAATACCTACTATTACACTATTTTTTTAATCAAAACTGTTGTTTATGGGAAAGGTAAGCAAGATTTTTATTTTACTCCCTTTAATTGACAGGTGTGACTAGTTTTTTTTGTATTCAAGATGCAGTCAAGAATTTGGTATTCATCTGTTTTGAAACAGAAAACACTTATAAGAAATCCAGTCCTGAGCAGATCAAGCACTGTTTGTCCTCAGGGAGAGGCACATGTTCTGAAATGGATAGACGTTTCTGCAAACAAGATTTTTTTTTTTTTTTAAGTAGTGAAAAACTTGAAATTAATAGTGTAAAGTAGTGGGGGCACTGTATTAGCTTTTCTGTTTAAAATGTGTATTACTGTGCCTCTGCAAAGAACAGTATGGCTGAATCCTCCAGACTTCAGGAGAAAAGTATTGAAGGACTCCTACGTCAGCTTTTCCATATTCTATAATTTTTTCAGCTTCTCAGTTTTTTCAGACTTGTGTAGTCCCACGTAAAATTGGACTGTCCCAAGAACATAAATGTGTGTCATTGTTGTGAGAGTGTTACAGTAATACATGTATGATGTGAACTGGAACGATATATTAAATATCTCCACTCAACTGATCCTGAGTACCTTAAGCCAAAACCCTACTTCCAGTTTTTAATGCCTTTGTGTATACAGCTGAGATCACACAGAGTGTTCTTAGTTTCCACTGTAGTTTAGCCATCTGCTGTGGTGTATGTCAGAGCAATGGCTTAAGTGGTGGGTCAAAGAAAAAAAGAGAATTAAAACTGTTTTGCCTTCCTGTAAAGGAATAGAATAAAAAAAATAAATAGAATAAAGTATTGTGTTTTATTTTGGCAAAATTAAAATAAAAGTATAGGTTAGCAGTATTTCTGCTCTTGGCTTAATTTGGTACTGTGCTTTCCCATTAAACAGTGTTTTTCTCTCTTCCTTGTCCTTTCCTTGGTGATTAAGTCTTGCCACACAGCACTTCAGGAGTAGCTTGACAATTAGACACTGTGTTTAAAAATTGCCAGTACAAGAAGATGGCCTTCTGTATCAAACAGAAGTGTGTTAGATAGGAGTATAGGCTACAGAGAAACAAATGAAGCACAGGAAAATGTAGGAAGCTTCTGTTTGCCTTGTTTACAGTCCTTTCATGTCACTTCCATTCCTGGTATTCACTGTGCTTCTTTCCCTTGCAATGCACAATATGCAGATACTGTAACTTGCGTGCACTCTTCTTAAGGAGAGGTAGTAGTATTGAATCTGCTCATGTTTGCCTAAAGGTGCTGTTCTGGCTGGTGGCTGAGGGAGCTGGGTGGTGCTTTGTGGCTTCTCAGTTCTTTCATAAAACCACACAGGCGATAATGCAGAAGGGAGGTCCATGAAACATACCCTGTGTGTCAGCTCCTGACATGCTTGGGCATGTCTTTATTAGCACACGGTAAAGCTAGAGCCCCCAAAATTATTTTGCTTCAATAAAAGTTGGGGTATTTGGTGCTTTTTTGTAGAGCTCTCTGTTAAAGTGCCTTTAGTGCAATGATGCTTTTCAGTAGTGTGTGTTTTCATAAGAGATCCATGTATTCCTAACAATATAGCACTTCCTCATCCCTGGAAGTGTCCAAGGCAGGCTGGATGGAGCTCTGAGCAAGCTGGTCCAGTGGAAGGTGTTCCTGTCCACAGGAGGGGGGGTATAGAACTACATGAGCTCTAAGGTCCCTTCCAACCCCGGCTATCCAGTAATTCTGTGATGCTCTGTCTGTCAAACAACAAAACGTTCCTGGATGAGTGTGGGAAATTAAATCTGTATTGTCTCACCCTTCACAGGAGACTGAAAATAGGATAAAAGTGTTTAAAACACCTCTCATTTGCCCCATCTCTGGATCAGAAAAGGGCATAATCTGACATATGAGTACCAGAGAGATGATGCCAGTCACTGACAACTTGGAAGGTGATGGTTATCACAATATGTGTGCGTGTTTAGCAGCCAAAAGAGCACTGAAGCTACTGTAAGGGGAAAAGGGACGCAGTGTTGTGCCTCACTGCCTTTTTAAGCAACCGCACGTACCACGTTGACACAAAGACAAAATTGTGCTCCAAAGGACAAGTGCTAATGGTGCAAATTTGTTATTTCAATTGGTCCTTGACAGCAGAGTGGCCCTGGGGCAAGGGAGGGTGGCAGGGCCTGCAGCATGACCTGTCAGACCAGCCCAGCTGGAGCAAGGTGCAGTTCCTGCTGCACTGGAAGGCCTGCCTTTGGCACAGAGCAGGTGGCCATGCCAGCTGGGACAGAGAGCTGAGCCAAACCCATACACAGCCCTGGCAGCAGGGAGCAGGGGGGGCAGAAGCATGAAAATATGCATATTGTCAGCTCTTGGCAGTTTGCTGAAAACAGCTTTTGGGAAGTCAAGGGCCTTTGGTGGTTTCTATTCTGTTTTTAAGAGCTGTGCCCTGGGGCAGTGAAGAGGATGAGGCAGTGAGAACAGAAGGGTAGTGAAAGTCTCCCTTTTGGGTTCCCTTAAATTAATGAGCAAACTGCCCAGATGGCATAAGTGAGGCAGAAGAAGAAATCCAACATAAACAATTTGTTTAGACTGCCTAAAATGAAGACATCCTTTGTGTGGAACAGAGTAGTGACCAAAAGCCATTTTCACCTTGTGTCATTCTGTTTTGGGAAGAGCTCTCTGCAGAGTGTTCAGGTCTTGCTGTAGAAAAGAGCTGTGCCTGTAGCACTCCAGATGTGTATTTCCATCCTTGAAATGGCATGCTGGTTTTCATAGGCTCCCTACCTCTGCCACCAGTCCAGCAGCCTCTGCAGTAAGGGCATGTGCTGGCATGGTTAGAGCCAGTCAAGTTCAGTATGTGCTGTGCTGTCATTTTTCTGGCAGGTGTTGCAATTTCTTCTGTCCAAATTTCTGTAGTCTTGAGGTTGTGCTGGAGTTGCCTCTTGGAAGATTTGACATTTTTCAGATCTGGTGATTTTTAACTTTAGAGCCAAGGAATTGCTGGTAATAGAGTAGAAAATCGCTGCAGGTAGCTTTCTCAGGATGGTCATTTATTTTACTTAAGCCATCACCCATTTTTAAAAACAATTTGTTTGCCAGTCTTCTGTCAGATTTCTTCATCTGAATAATACAATCAAGGGTTTTTTTAAGCGTGTTATACTAGGTACTGCTAGCCAGGCTATGACATAAATTCTGTCCTGTTTGCACTGGAAATGGTAACAGTAATATTATCCCTTTTTACTTTATTATATCCAGAATTTAAGTCTTAAAAATGATTGTGTGCTGCAAGCACATGTGGCCTCTATGGTAGTGCCCTGTACATGAACGTCATTTGCGTATGGAGACATTGCTACCACCACAAAGAGTCTAGCAAGAGAAAATTTCAAAACCAGATTTTAAAAAAAAAAAAAAATGTGACTCAGCATATACATGTGGAAAGAAACATGTAACCAAAAAAAAAAGAAAAAAAAAGCATAACTAATTTTTTACTGAATTTATTAATAGTAGAAATAAAAATAAGTTCATTAGAAGCAGATTAATGCTATGTTTTATATTGCTGTGTAATCTTTATCCAGATTAAACTGCACATCTGCCTGGGATTCAAGTTAACAAGATTTGATCTGGACTTAAAGCCAATCTGTAATGTCCTGCTGCCTGCTTGTAGAGATACCCTAAAATAAGTTACCATTGTTTCCTCACCATGAGAAATGTGAACAGTTCAACATAGTTTTCCCTCTGTTTCTCATGTCCTAGTGTTTGTGTCACTCCTTGTACATCCAGGCAAGAGCAGAGTGCTGCCTTTAGTCACAGGCTGCTAAGGAATAACACTTGATTAGAATCAGCCTTGCACGTACCATACCTGAAGGAACAGTAGCACAAGTCTGGTGACAGTGGTTTGAACTGCATGTTAATGTTCCAAACGTGTTCCTTCAATAAATGATGTTTCAGAGAGTTTTAAGAGTAAATTTTCCAATGAACCACATGGAAAACTCAACTCTTACCTCACAACACTGTAGGTACATTTATTTAAAAATCTCTTGAATAGAATGAAGTGCTTTAAAATTGCATTCTCTCTCTTCTGTTTGTCCCCAGTGCATCAAACTCTTCATAATTTCCTACAAAATAAAATTACGTTTGCAGTCCAGGAGCAACCTGTGTTCCAAAAATGTCTATTTCAGTAACTCCTTGTGCTCTTACTGTAAAATGAATTTGCCTTCTTTTTTTTTTTTTTTTTTTTTTTTTTTTTTTTTTTAAATGCTGGGAGTTTTTGCACTGTGCTTGTGGCTGGAAACCCATAGCACATCAGACCTTGCAATTCACAAGCCTGAGGTTGCAGAAATCTGTATTAAAACAAAACTCCAGATAAAATTTGTAATCAGCAAGCCTTCTGCTAAATGATAAATCGACTCTTCAGGAACTTACCTCATGGAGTCTGAAGATAGGGCCTAGATACAAAGAAGTAAATTCACTCTTCTCAGCAATGCCATTGAAATTCAGACATTTTCCTAGACAGGGTTGAGTACTCCTTGCCCAAAGAGGAATGTAATTTAAATTTCTGTCCACCTTGTGGCCTTTACAAAGTTTTTGAAGCTGTAGATCTGTTTAAGAGTTTCA